GCTTAGAATACCCCTACTCTTCTGTCATCTAAACTTCTCCCCACCTCTCTATTGAGTATCAGCTGCATTAGTATGCTCAGGTTGCCCTAACAGCTAACCATACCTGGGTGGTTTAAACCAAAGAAATTTATTTTCTTACAGTCTGAAGTCTGGGGGTCCCAGATCAAGGTACTGGTAGGGCTGATTTCTAGTGAGGCATCTTTTTTTGGCTTACATATGGCTGCCTTCTTGTTGTATCCTCATATGGTCTTTCCTTTTTGCATGCACTGCTGGTATCTCTTTCTCTTCTTTTATTATTATTATTTTTTTTTTATTTTTTAAAGATTTTATTTATTTATTTCAGAGAGAGAGAGAATGAGAGATAGAGAGCACGAGAGGGAAGAGGGTCAGAGGGAGAAGCAGACTCCCCGCCGAGCAGGGAGCCCGATGCGGGACTCGATCCCAGGACTCCAGGATCATGACCTGAGCCGAAGGCAGTCGCTTAACCAACTGAGCCACCCAGGCACCCTCTTTCTCTTCTTTTAAAGAACACCAGTCCTATAGAATTAGGCCCCCACCCTTATGACCTCATTTAACCTTAATCATCTCCTTAAATGCCCTATTTGGGAGATTAGGGCTTCAACATTTAAATTTTGACAGGATGCAGTTGAGTCTGTAACACCAGCTATGTGCCTGTCACTGTCATAAGTGCTTTGGACACATTAGTGAACAAAACAAAGATTCTTCTCCTTGTGGGGCTTATATTAGGGAGAGGTGGAAAATAATAAATAATTATATATAAATAAATTATGTAGTATGTTAGAAGGCAGTGAGTGTTATAGAAAAACAAAACAGAACAACAGGTGAAAGTGATCTGGGGTGCTGGCATAGGCTTTGGGGTAGGTGACAGTTTTAAAAAGGGCAAGCAGATTAGGCCCTCTTGAGTAGCTGACATTGAGCAAAGCCTTGAAGAACATGAGGGAGTTAACAGTATAGATATCTGCTCTTGTTAAATCTGGTATTTATTCAGTTGAGAACAACAGGCATTATTAAGAAACTTTGAAAGACATGATTTAGAGCCAGATAACCTTGGTTTAAGTTCTAACTTTGTGTGACTCAGGGCAACTTAGCCTCTGCACTAAATTATATAACCAACACCCCAATTTTAATGAATTCCAGATGCCAGGATATTTCAGAGCTGATTATCCCTGTTTCAGATGAGCACTGAGAGAATAAATTATTGCAAGGTTGAATTTGAACCCCATTCAGGAGTCACTGTCTAATTGCTAAACTTATCAGGTATGTATAGTTTCTCTGCCTAGCCCCAGAGGTGTTTCATTGTTCCCTTGGTTTCACTGCCTGGCTATAGCCTAGTACTTACTTTGGTGTGGAAGATAGGAGTGACCTCATTAATTATGTTGATAAATAAATAAATAAAAAAGGGCGCCTGGGTGGCTCAGTTGTTAAGCGTCTGCCTTTGGCTCAGGTCATGATCCCAGAGTCCTGGGATCAAGCCCCGCATTGGGCTCCCTGCTCAGCCGGAAGCCTGCTTCTTCCTCTCCTACTCCCCCTGCTTGTGTTCCTGCTCTAGCTGTCTCTCTCCATCAAATAAATAAATAAAATCTTTAAAAAAAATTATGTTGATAAATATGTCTGTCAGAGGCATTCCAAAAGGCTTTTCATTTGAGTGTAGGGATTAGTGTGCTTTTGGGTGAGGAAAAGTTGTTGATGAAATTCAGCGGCTCTTCACTAATGTAAAATATCAAGTAATAAGTATTTATGAAGCATGCTTAGACTTGCACTTTGCTCAGCAGCTAAAAAAAATAATTCTGTCAAATCTTAATTATCCATATTAATAAAAAATAAAAATATCAGAGACTAACATACAGGAAATCTATAAACTCTCACCACAGAAAGGGAAAGATAGAAGAAGATAACAAAAGTATAAAGTGGGTAATACAGGGATATCCCATCCTCTTTTTTAAACAAAAATGTAAATAAGCAAAATATAATTTCTTAGATTCCCTTATTCTGTAAATGAAATTCATCTTTTATGTTAGAGCCTGGGCTGAGTTCTGGAGGGATAGTAGCAAATAACCTGGTCCCTGATTTTCTAGGAGATTACAGTCTAGTCATCAAGAGAAAAAAGTAAACCAACACAACCCAGTGTGTCAAGGCCATGGTAGCAGTATGTACAGGGAATTCTGGGACCCCAGCAGGAAGCACCTAGCCCAGGGCAGAGGGTGAGTGTGACAGGCAGAAAAGGTTTATAAGAGCAGCCAAAACGATGCCTTCACACTGTCATTCAATAAATATAATTAAGCAATCTTGGCATGTTAAATAGACCCTTGTGCTAAACTTTCTGGATGAAATGCATTCCAACTTTTGAGGACTCAAGTAAAGGGAAACACATATAAACAAGCTCACTAATGTGTCATTAGGTACCGAGGGGGAAGTTATGTAAAGAATGCAGTAGCAGCACGAGTCCATTCCACTCTGTTTAGGGTTAGTGGTGTGAGGAAGTGTGCAGTGTCTGGGATGATGGGCAGGTGTGCAGCTTGTGGTGGGGGGGGAGTCAGGCCATTGAAATAGATAAAACGGGGCGCCTGGGTGGCTCAGTTGGTTAAGCGACTGCCTTCGGCTCAGGTCATGATCCTGGAGTCCCAGGATCGAGTCCCACATCGGGCTTCCTG